GGAGTTCATCGAAGGTACAAGATAGTCTATGATATCAATATTCAGCTAATTACGTCACAGCGAAACTAGGTTCCCCTCTTATTATATATGAGAACAAGCCAACCACACTGATACTCTTAGACTTCTCCAACAAACTAATGACAGACCCTAAGGTGACCATGCACACTACTTAGTAGTGACTACTATCCCATCGAAAAATACAGAAGCTCGTGCGTTGGCGTGCACATATGAATTCGCTGCGTTCACTCGATGATTCCTAACCATTATCAAGACACTCTACATATGATCCCATGAATAACAATAAAATTTATTTTCCGCTCTGCGGCATACCACAATAATGTGAACTCCCATAACACAACAGCTATCGCCTGCAATTGGTATTAAGATATAATGCTATTTGTCCACAGATGATGCCATAGTACAACAACAACAACCACAAAACTTTCAACGATTATAGAAACTCGCAAAGCTCCATCAACGAGTCGGGGCTGGTGTGGTAGTCGCAGGATTCCTCCGAGCTCTACTCGAGATCAGCGCAGCACATGTCACAATAACTTGCGCTTCGCTCAGCTTATTCGAGAATGGCTGCTGCCCAGGGCCGTAGAGCTCACCAAGTCTAATGAACGGGCCGCCCTCTCTAATAGTAACTTCCAGCTCGCGAGTGAAATACCCTTTTTCATACCAATTCCGCATTTCAGCAAACGTGAACGGTCCACGCTCGGTCCCCCTCGGGTCCTTATACCTCCATAATTTATGCCCAGCTGGTATCGCATTGGAAGCTCTAGTGATAGCCTCAACTCTCTGTTGCAATGCCAACTTCTTCGCCAACTCCTCTTTACTAACCGTATTTTTCTTAACCGATTCACCATAGAGTTGTCCAGGGATGAACTCAGCCGCACTAGCGGACAACTTTTTCCTCTGGCCAGCTGTTGCAGCCCCACCAGTGGCACTCCTCGTACTGCTACTAGGGGTATCATCATGATTGATGCTCACCAACAAGGCCTTCAACTCGCGGTTAACACTCAAATCGTATATATCAATATCATCATTCTTCTGAGCGTAGACCAACTTATCCAACTCCTTCTCAGTGAGCCTGTGGTAAGCCGACGGAGCGTTGGTGTTAGCAGCAGCAGCAGCATCATCACTTGAAGACGACTGGTCCTGTCCCATGAGCCGGAACGCAAACTGAACGCGCATGGCATCTGACTTCCCCGCAAAGGCATCATATATCTTCAACCGGTGCGCTTTCAAGTATCATAGGAGTTCATATACAAATTCGGAAGTGTAGAAGTGTACAGAAACCAAGGAGAATTTCCCGAAATTTCCTCGGAAATTTCATATTCTCACCAACACATGCAGTAAACTGTGCCTACTTTTCCACATTGGTAGCAACCATACTGTGTCTACTTTGTAGTGGAAAAATAGTTATACACGAAGTTTGACATAATAGAATATACGAGTCACTAGTGAGAGGTTCATCATCAACAGCAGCCTCAGCCAGTCAAAGAGAGACGGGCGAACCATGGTACGTAGTAGTAGCTATACTACAGTGCGAAGGTTAATGTGTCTACTGAAACTCACTGCTCATGATTCCACTGAAACTCACTTTTTAGAATAATACCCACGGCGCAGAGAAACGGACAAGAAAAAACTTATGAAACTAATTGTTACGCACGTTTGAAAAATGCCTATATCGAATCAAGATCATCTCAAGAGCGAACAAAGTCCTTAGTATTCAGAAACACACTGAGCTAGTACTAGGTAGACCAGGTGGAAGTGAGTTTCCTACAGTAGCTGCCTATAGCGAGTTATGAGCGCTTCATGCCAAGAGCCACTTGCTCTCTCGGTAAGTCTTCTTGCTACTCTAAGGTAGATCCCGGGTTCGATCCCCGGCGGTGTCGACATTTCTATCCTCTCCTTAGTCGCCAGCGCATGATGCACTCAAAGTGAGTTCGGCGAACTGATCAAGCTGTCCGGCTCGAGGACCGGTTCTTAGTTTTCCTCCTACGACTTCAACAGTTCTTGTTGATCTTCTTTCCTCGACTTTTGTACTTCACTCAGTTCTAACTGCTAACTTTTTGGTGGAAACAGAATTATACACGCAGTTTGATATGGTAAATTATACGAGTCACAAGTGAAACGTTGACCATCAACAGCCTTAACCAGTCAAACTAATAAACAGAACTGCTAATTAACGACTTACATGCGACCTTTGAGGGTGATATGCAAAATCCAAGGAAGTCTGTCGCTCGCTCTCAGCAGTTCGGGTTTCTGGTTGCCTAGGGTAACAGCTTTCATCCGTATAACAGCTGGGGTCTCTGGTTGCTTTCACAACACATTTAGCATCTGTATAGTGTGACTATGCGACGTGAGCATATGCGGTACTGGTAGACTGTATCGTGGGTCCACCACTTGAGATATTAATCGAAAATATCGATCCTCTACAGGTGATGGATGGGCACACTCGTAATCATCAATAGTACTCTCGCGTCGCCTCCTGTTTATGAAACGATTGTGCATGAAATTCGTTGCTCTCGCTGAGCCCAGATGTGTAGGATAGATAAAGATTAAGATTAACTCCCTATTCCTCGCCACTTGCCTGGTTGTGTTATCCGACATGACTTCCCTACTGATGACTGAGAGTGGTGCACAGCACATACCACTCCAATATCAATTCTACCTTTCCAACGTGGCAGCCAGCAGTACCATCTGGTACCACCTCGGGCCTCGTCGTAGTCATCAGCAGTAGTTGAAGCTCTCTGTTGTCTCCACGAGATGATCCTTCCCTGTGTGTCGCGTTATATAGTGTTAATGAAGTCGTACCACAGGTCTTGACTCAAGTCTACACATGGCACAGGCTATTCCTACTACTACTACTACTGCCAACCTAGGTGGGGACCTCATCGAAGGTAACTCTGCTAGAACGGTATAAGCTCTGACTATCTACACTCAGCCATGGACGCTTCCCCGGAGCTCCTCGAGTCCATCATCAACGGAAATGACGATGACGAAGTGTTCGAGCGTATCTCTGAGGATGGCTTTGATCAAGGTCATTCGCATCGGTCGTGTTTATTAATATTTTGTTGTTTATTCTTCCAGACGATCTCGATAAAGACGACCCCCTAGGAGATATCGACGCTTTGCTGCGGGAAAGTGGTAGGTCAGGGAATCTAAATGTTCCCGGACTCATTTTGAATTTTCCACCTATGGCTAGGAACACATTCTTCAATCAGTTTGCCATGTAAATTATGTTATGGCGTTATTTCTCAAAGTTAGATGGGTCCCTGCACCAGGGTGGTATGAGGTTGCTCATTCGTAGTCGCCTCTACTGAGAAGAGATCTCCGTTGACAGCAGCAGTACGGGTCCGACCACCGGTAGTTGATGACTTTATTCGCAACTTCTTCATGAAGTAAGGGTGCGGCTGCATATGCAGAGCATGGGCTTATCTCAGACACGGTCTTAAACGTTCGTTGGATGCGTTCCAGAACGAGTGGTATGGCATGCAGCTATCTGGCAAGCTCGATGCGACAGCGATGGATGATGCCGTTCCTGACTTGTGAGTGTGGGAAAATATGTACATGTGTTGCGGACTTTATGAAAATTTTGTAAGTTTGTGAGCAAAACATGTGCTCGCTTTCCTCAGCTGAGCTCAATAGTTTCCTCACTAATCATAGGAGTTCGTATTCGAATAGAGAAAATTCTACAAAATTTCCTCAGAGTTTAAAAATTGTCTCCAACACTTGTGGTTGATGATGTGCCAATTTTACCACACTGGTTTGTGTACTGAGTTGAAGAACTCAGCGGACGTATTATTCTTCCAACACCGGCAAGTCATCACTGATAATAGCTGATAACCTGACTAGCCCTAGTAAAGTTCTGAGTACATATGTTACCAGAAAGGCCCCCAGCAGAATCCATTCTAAGGGTGTCACCATCGTGGTGGTAGTCGTTGAAGGTCTTGGTATATACACTTCAATGAGAGGAGCTATTACCTCTTGTAGACCTGATGAACGTAACGACTACAGCATTTCTAGGTCAAATTAATTTTTTACCGACAAATTTAATTTTTTACCCATTTGGTTAATGTTTTACCTTTTTAGTTAACGTTTTACCCATGACTTTAATAAAATACCAAGAAAATTAATATTATACCCGGTTTATTTGAAAGTTTAGGAGTTTAATTTAATCAAAGCGCGCCCAATGATAATTTATCATAGATAGTAGACCCGTACACACCGACAAGCATGAGCGTAATCGTGTATTTTCATCATGCCTCCACGAATACCTCGATAATGGGAGAACTGTTTTGAACAATTATCGTTGACAGTGTGGGAAAATATGCACATAGTGGACCACATATGTTGGTGACAATATGGTGATTCTGAGGAAATTTTCCAAAATTGTTGCGGGTTCCTGTACATTTCTACCCTAGTTTGTATATGAACTCCTGTAGTTAGTGAGGAAACTCATAGGGTCAACTGAAGAAAGCGATCATATATTACCACACTGATCGTTGACCTCATCAGGTACCTCCGTAGTCAACATCTGATGGATGTCATTCGAGCTCAGGAAACGGAGATGAAGAAATTACGAATAGTGGCGGAAAATGCGA